TCCGTTCTCCCATCTTCCTTGGTGCCACGGCACTGTAGCGGGCTCTGCGGCCAGCTAGCTAACTTCCAGCGTGCATCGGCACGGCCGTGGGCACGAGTTCTTGCCTACTTGATGCCCACTGCCTATGGGGAAATGGGTCAACTGGAACTCCCACTCCATGCCCCATCTGGAGGCTGCCCAGCCTTAGCTGTAAGTGAAGGCAACACCCTGAGCATGGTGGGGTGGCAGGGCAGCAAGCCAGGTCCGTGGGGGCCTGGATGGAGGTGCGCACGCTGGCAGCTGGAACCCCGGGCTGAGACATGACGGGGACTCTCTGTTAGAGCAGCACAGCCTCGATCGCAGGATTCAGCGACGGATCCTGAGCCCATCTCCTTAAATCCCAGGCTCTCTCCTCCCGCGCATTTTGTCTGTGTCTGCAGGGTCGCTGTGCACACAGACCGCCAAGCCTGAAATCCTTCCACATTCAATCTTTCAACAAATCCCTCCGGGGCCGCCAGCTGTGGGTCCTCCCGCTACACCCCTTCCTGTCTCGGTTCCCACCTCCGTCCCTGCTGCGGTTCACGCTCTTGTGACTTCAACAGCTTCTTGTAGTTTCTGTCTCACCCCCTGAGATGGATTGCCTGGTCCAGGCGGGTGTCCACATAGGAATGCCTGGTCCACAAGCCTTCCACGGTTCCAGCTGCTCTGAGGACGAAGCATATGGGAGATTCGCTGACTTGGCTTGGCCCTGGGAGGTCCGATCCCTGCCCGCCTCCCCAGCCTCCCCTCCTTTGCCCTGCACCTGCCCAGCTGCCACCATGCACGCGCTTTATAAATGGGCTGAGTCGCTCCTTCCCTCTAACCTCCACACCTGCTTCTCTGCCAGCCAAGTCCCTCCCTCCTCTGCCCCGGCTCATCCTCCTCCTCCTCCAGGTCATCCATTAACCCTCTCCCACTCACCCCCTTCAGCATCACTGCCCCAACCTACTGTGTCAGGGGTCCCCAAGACCACCCTCAAGTCATTTAAAAAAGATTTATTTATCTATTTGAAATGCAGAGTTACAGAGAGGCAGAACAGGAGAGATAGATCTTCTATCTGCTGGTTCACTCCCCAGATGGCCCATCCGAAACCGGGAGCCAGATCCAGGAGCTTCTTCCGGGTCTCCCATGCCAGTACAGGTGCCCAAGCACCCAGGTCATCCTCCACTGCTTTCCCAGGCCACAGCAGGGAGCTGGATCAGAAATGGAGCAGCCAGGACCCGAACCAGTGCCTGTATGGGATGCAGGCCCTGCAGGTGGCAGCTTTAACCGCTACACCACAGTGCTGGCCCCTCAACTGTGGCCCCACTGGGCTCACAGAACTCAGAACGGCTGATACCTCAGCATACGGACAGGGAAAGGGTGTTCAGGGGAGAGCTGAGGAGAGAGCACGTGCAAGCCCCAGCCCCCAGCAGTGATGTGTGGCAACACGCCAAGTACTGCCAACTCCGCTCAGACGAGCCTGCATGCTCAGACTTCTTAAATGGGCGGATTGGGCACGTTAGGTGTTAGGTGTTAGGTATTAGGTGTGCCGCTCCCTGCCCGATGGACCCTAGCTACTCAATGGCCAGAGGTCAGTCACACGACCGGGCATGGGACGGTCTCCACAAACCACTGTTCCCTTGGGACTCTCTGGTGTGGCCCAAGATCCAAGCTGTCCCAACAGACGTGAGGCAGGAGACTCCAGGGGCACAGAGGTTATCCCCCGGGAACTCTTACCGGGCCAGTTCTTCTTTGGAATGTGTAGGGTTCGGACAACCCAGGCCTGCTGAGTTGCCCCTTTATTGAACACCTGTGTTCCCAACATGCTCTTGGCCGCCCTCTCCCACAGCTGCCGTCACAGTGACCCCTCCCTGATGTTCCTCCCACAGAGAACGACACATGGGGCTTCGGGAGACACACTCAAGCCGCTTGCAAAGCAGAGCTGAGACGGGGATGAGCCTGGGAGGGTGGACCGTCTCCCTCGGGGCCACAGCCAACAGCAAGGCAGGGGCCCGGGGCCACGGAAGCCCTCCCAGGGGTGTGCGCCGCTCCTCGCACACTGCAGGCTGCACACAGCCGCCGCGTCGGCGCTCTGCCGTGACCTGGGCCTCATCCTAGGCCTCCCGGTGCAACTGCAGACTTAATCCCCTCCTGTAACGTGGCACTTTCTGTTTGACCTTACCCGAAAGAGTCACCAAACGCAGAGTTTCTGAAACTTCTGATGTGCACAGAAACACTAAAGTCTGAAAATGCGGAATCCTGCCCCTTGACCACACAGCCCGTGTGCAGGGTGTGCCTCGTGAACCCTGCTCCCGGCCCCAGGCCCCTGAGGGGCTCTGTAAAGGCCAGAGCGGTACGTGAGCATTGCCGGCCTGCACTGGGCCGGTGTCCTGCCTGGAGCTCCACTCCCCTCCCTTCCCCTCTGCAGGAGGCCCTCCCAGGAGAGTCTCGGCTGCCCCCACCGTCTGTGCACTCCCCAAGGGCTGGGGTGCTTCTTCTCTTGCCTGGCAAGGCAGGGTCTGGATACGGACCCTGGCCAGCCTCTGTGTGCTGGGGGCTTCAGGGGGTCTTGGATAAACAGGGAGGGAGACACTGCTGTGGCCAGGACAGCCGGAGACAGCTTGCAGGGAGAGCAGAAGCTGCAAGAGGCAAGTTGCTGAGCCAGTGGGAACCGGGGCGGCTGACAGGGTGCAGCGTGTGCTGGGGGGGCCCGTGGCGACAGCACAGAGTTGCTGCCCGGGGCCCGTGGGGTCAAGGGCCCTCATCTCCTACCGCTCCCTCCCTGCTTTGCCGGACACAGTCGCCTGCATTCATTAAACGCTCACTCACCCATTCTCTGCTCTGTAGACACCTGCCTGTCTCCTAGGAGCCCTGGGAAGGCCTCTGGGAGCAGGAAAGTGATGCACAGCTCCGGGTCACCCCAGAAGCTCAGAGGGTGGAATTGAGGGCCACCAGCCTGATGCGACATTGAACGACAGCTGGAGGTTGGGGCCCATAGGGTGAGGTCTCGTCTCTGTAGTGTTTGGAGGTTCAACCCTAAAGGCCATCCCTCCACCTAATTAAGCCCGACTCAAAATCGGACCAGCAGGTCAGCAAAACCCTGGGCCCAGCTCAGAGGGCAGGCCGGCTCCGGAAGGTGGTGTTTTCCTGCCCCGGTTACAATGGGCTCCCTCCTGGGAGGAGGCAGTCTCTCAGGACAAATCAAAACCCGTTTACTCTGAGTAGCAGACAGACACCTCCCAGGTGGCCGAGTGTGGCTATTCCACTGTGAAGAGTGTCCACGGTGGATCCCACGTGGATCCATGGTGGATCCCAGGAGTCTGCTTCCTTTGAACTTGACCTCACAGAAGACAATCGTGTCCCACTGAGAGCTCCCTCGGCCCCTAACAGCCAAGGACCCATTGGAACAAGCTCTGCCCCAGGTGCTGTTTCTTCTCCTTCCGTTTCTTTTTTTGTCTTCTTTTTTTCTTTTTACAGGCAGAGTGGACAGTGAGAGAGACAGTGAGTGGACAGTGAGAGAGAGAGAGACAGAGAGAAAGGTCTTCCTTCTTGCCATTGGTTCACCCTCCAATGGCCACTGCGGCCAGCGCACTGCGGCCAGCGCATCGTGCTGATCCGAAGCCAGGAGCCAGGTGCTTCTCCTGGTCTCCCAAGCACTTGGGCCATCCTCCACTGCACTTCCTGGCCACAGCAGAGAGCTGGCCTGGAAGAGGGGCAACCGGGACAGAATCCGGTGCCCCGACCGGGACTAGAACCCGGTGTGCCGGCGCCGCAAGGTGGAGGATTAGCCTAGTGAGCCGCAGCACCAGCTCATTTTGTTTTAAAGTAAACTTCATCCTCACTAGCTTTTCATTGCTGATGTCCATTCGAGAGAAAGGGAGAGACAGCTCCCATCTGCCGGTGCACCTCCCAAAGGCCCACAGCTACTGGCGTGGGGCCAGGCTGAAACCAGGAGTAAGGTCTCCCACATGGGTGGCGGGGACCCAACTACTTGAGCCAGCTCCTGTCGCCTCCCAGGGTGCACTTCACCAGGAATCTGGAGCCAGGAGTGGGGCTGACACTCCAAACCACACGCTCCAGTGTGTCCTAACCACGAGGCCAAACACCTGCCGTTTCGCAGGTCCCTGGGAAAGTAAAGTATTCAAGCCCCAGCTGCCCTCCGCCTTCAGTCCGTCTGTCCATCCATCAAACCTCTCAATAAGCATCTGTGAAGGTTCTGGGAGGACCTAGAGTGAGTGCCTCACAGCCTCAGTGACCTCAGCCTCCGAAGCTCAGAGCAAACCCATCCACCAGTGGTCTGTGAAGAACATGCTGACGCAGCCATCCTGGATCCACCGCCCGCCATGCCGCCAGCCCAGGGCACCACAGCCAAGTGCTGTTCTGGAAGCCGGGAGCCAGCACAGTCAGGTTCTGGTGAGGGCTCTCTTCCTGGCTTGCAGATGGCAGAGAGGAAGCAAGTGAGCTCTCTGGGCTCTCATCAGGGCCCCAAGCCACCACTCTTACCAGACCACCCCCCAAAGGCCCGCCTCCAAACGCCATCCCACTGGGAGCTGGCACATCACACCACCCCACTGTCTGGGCCGCACTGTCTGCTGGAAGAGCTGAAACCAGGACAGAATCCGGTGCCCCAACCGGGACTAGAACCGGGGGTGCCGGCGCCGCAGGCGGAAGATTAGCCTAGTGAGCCGTGGCGCCGGCCTGCATTTAACTTTGTAAGTGAAAATACAGCCGGGAATCTTTATGACCTGCCTGGAAGAGGAGGCGGCGCTCAGAGCAGTTCCATAGAAACAGTGGTGCCGCTGAGTCCAGCTGTATTCTCCGGGCCTCTCTCTGTCTCTAAGGGCGGTTGTTCCAGCACACGTTCCCTAGCCCTGAACAGGGACAGGAACAGGAAGAGAAGTGAGGAGGTAGAGGTGTTCTCATAGTGAGGTCACAGTTGGCTGAGGAACATGCATGCAGATTCCCAGGCCTGGGCGGTGGGGCTGGGCTCCTGTGCGGGCTCAGGCACTGCGTGGGAGGGGGCTCCAGAGGCCCTGGGCAGAGGGCCCTGGGCTGTCCCTAGGCAAGACCCTGGGTCCCCTGACTCCCCGGGATGAGGACCCCATCTTGGCAGCTGGCTTGCCCAGTGTGAGACCAGGAAGCAGCAGGGCCTCCCCGGGGGCCCTGTGCTGGCTTAGCAGGACCTCTGCAGCCAGAGCAGGTGCATCACCCGACACGAGGTGGCCCATCCCTCGCCCCCGTCCACTCCAAGTCACTCTGTAAAGCCTCCTCCTGCCCCACCCTGGCTCCAAGAGGGGAAGAAAGCGCTGAAACCCGAGCAGACGCCGTCCTGGGCCCTGCTGGAGGCATTAATAGAAGCCTCGCTCAGGCCCCTGACGTGTCTGGCAGCTGCTCAGCCCCAGCCCGCGTCTCCCAGCCCCAAGGCCGGCCCACTCTGGCTCAGCCGGGCACACTAAACTTAGCTTCCACCCCCAGCTCCGGAGCCACGGCCACCACCCTAGCCGGGCCGCCACCTGCACGGGCAGGCGCCGCCGCCAGACCCTACCTGCAGCACCCACCCCTCTGCAGCCGCCATGTCCCCGACGGAAGCCCCAAAGGTCCGCGTGACCCTCTTCTGCATCCTGGTGGGCATCGTGCTGGCCATGACGGCCGTGGTGAGCGACCACTGGGCCGTGCTGAGCCCCCACATGGAGAACCACAACACCACCTGCGAGGCCGCCCACTTCGGCCTGTGGCGGATTTGCACCAAGCGCATCGCCCTGGGCGAGGACAGGAGCTGCGGACCCATCACCCTGCCTGGGGGTAACGTATCCATGCCCTGTCCCCTCTCTGCCTCCTGCCTGTCGCAGGTGCCCCGGAAGAGGTGCCCGTGGGAAAAAAGGCAGGTTTCTCTGCCTCGGGTCCAAGCAGCACCCCAGCCCTCCCTGCCCAGGGCAGACAGAGCTGCGCATGGCACGGCCATGTACGGAGGGCTTACGTTTCCAGCTATTAGAACATGGGGCCATGCGCCCAGAGCAGACAGCTGCACAGATGGGACAAGAGGCCCAGGACGAAGACGCAGGTCCACCAGACCAGGGCCTCTGGCTCAGCAGGGGTCACAGCCCATGTCCCCAGGCTGGGTGGCCGTGTGCCCCCAGCCCGGCAGGTTCATTGCTCAGTGCCCAGGCAAGGGTGCAAACAGGGCCAGCTCCAGGGTCTGCAGTGCCTCCTGCAGAATGAAAAGGCAGGGCTCCTAGTTTCCGGCGACAAAGCGTTTCAGGTAGGCGGCCGCAGGGTGTGGGGCGCTTCTGGGGTGGGTGTGACTGTGCAGGCTGCACCCCTGGAAAGTGGGATGTGGCAGCATGCAAGCCGGCTGCCTGCTCGTGGGAGCCCACAGACCTCCCGGAGGGGCCCCCTGAACTCAGCTCTCTCAGATTCCAAAGTGTCCCCTGTCCCACAGTGTCACCCAGCCACACGCTGCAGGTGAGCCCTCGGTCCAGGACGTGGGGCGTGAGCAAGACAGATCCCTGGGAAGAGTGTCGGTTCTGCACGTGTGGGGCCCACGGAGTTCCAGTGAGCAGAGCGTGTGCCAGGGCAGCGGGTGCTGTGCGGGGAGCGGAGGCCTGGGCCCCAGTCACGCGCTAGCCGCCTGCTCCCTAGAGGAGGCTTCTGGGCAGACAAAGCCCAGCTCAGCTCCTCCTGCTGCCTCTTCTATAAAACAGGAGACTTGGTCTCAGCCACACACGATCCCTCCCAGAGCTCACCAAGGTCCCTCCAAGGCGGCAGCCGGCCAGGCTGTGAGTGACACCGTCCCACCTGACATGCGTGTTCAGAAAGGGCGTCCTTTAAGGCGGGTGGCGCTGAGCCCCCAGAGGTCTTGCAGTCTGCCCAGCCCCTAGCCCCATGCCGCCCTTTCCTCCCCCTGCCACTTGCTCCAGGGATCCCCTGCTCCGCGTGCCCCCGGGGGGCGTGCAGAGGACTCGTAAATCCTCAGCTGTCTTGGAAACGCTGAGTCCAGGGCTGGGAGCTTTGACAGGCGTGGGCATGTGCTCATGGGCTATCGCATAGCGCAGATGCTCATGCCCTCGGCCACCGCTGAGCACGCCCGTAAACACACGCCTCCTCCAGCCAACTCCCTTGGGCAGGGCAGGGCGGGGCAGGGCGAGGCGGCTCCTCCAGGGACACTGTCATGGTCCTAGCTGCTGTCCTTGGAGCCATCTGCCTTTTAAAGTCAGAGCCGATGAGCAGGGCAGCGGGCAGAGTCCACACAAGGAAGAGACAGACTGGCCAGAGGTGACCAGGCCAGCCCCAGGGGACCGACACTTGGCCTTGAGCCTGAGCAGCGTCCATCTCTTTGGCCTCTCCACGCCGCCCCCGCCCCAGGCGTGAATCATGCACTTGCGGCACTCAGCACTGCCTTCCCTCCAATAATCCTCCCAAGCATGTCCCCCCGGCCTTTTTCCTCTTTTGCAAACAGATGTCTGCTTCCTTCCCAATGTACCTTTACCTTCCTTAATCTCCTCGGGACCACCGTTTTCTGGAGCGAGTTCATACATCTCTCATTTATTTGTTATTAACCAAAGCAACAACAAAGGCACGCAAACGTAGCACTGTGTGCATGTATTGTTGTGAATGCTTTTCCTAAATTCACTTGAAATGACGTCAGAAAAATAGGACAGAGTAAGGCATGCCTGCCCCCAAATCTTCCCCATAAAAGCCATGAGGATTCTGGCAAAAATTGACAGGACACTGGACATTAACCAAATCTCACAGAATTCCAGAAAAACAAGGGAAGCTCAGGAGGAACAGAGACTTGCCCATTCCCACGCACCCTCCCCAGGTCTGCCGTGGCTTCAACATCTCACAGTCATCACCAACATAGCAGCCCAACAGCCACTGAGGGGGACAAATGGCCAGCTTTCTTTTACGGCTCTGTTTTCAGAGCGGTCATTGTGCGACCTGTCCTGTGGCTCCCTGCAAGTCCCCACTTACAAATCGCCTCTATCTGACCTGGCTCTGAGCTCTCCAGTGCCACCAATCTTTCTCCCAGGGAGCATTTGTTGAAAACAACTGGAGCCAACTGTGTAACATCATGGCTTCTTGAGACAGCACAAAACAGTTGGTGCTAATAATGGGATAGCCCAAACGCTGGAGGATGTGATGTCCGTTGGCAGCTTTGGAAAGTTCCAACATATTCCTGGGCACCTCGAAGGCCTTGTGCATGCACGGTGCTGCCAACAGGCTCAGGAGAGACCTGAGGTCCTAAGCTCTCACCCCTGCCTTATCTTGAGGCTCTGTGCAAGTAGAAATGGAGTCTAAAGCAGAGATGTAGACTGCTTAGCTGAGGGCCCCCGGCATCCCTAACATGTGCTCAGGGCCCCTCAGTAGACTGGGAGAGATCCTGGTCCTAAGCATTTAAGAAATCTCTGTTAACTGGCCACTAAGCTAATGAGACAGACATTTCAGTTGTCAGACACAACAAAGAATACAGAGTTCACAAAATTAGTCCAGAAGTCACTAAACAACAATAAGCAGTAATAAAGGCTCAACGCAGGAAATATGGACAGGCAAAGAACTGAAATGGTAGGGGCTCCATGTTGGGGGGGAGCGAGGAGCAGGAGCCAATAGATCCCTTAGGAAGCTCAGAAATTGCTGTACAAAGATTTTTTTTAAAGATTTATTTATTTATTGGAGAGGCAGAGTTACAGACAGAGAGAGGGAGAGACAAAGAAAAAGAGTTCTTCCATCCACTGGTTCACTCCCCAAAAGGCCACAATGGCCTGAGCTTGGCCGATCTGAAGCCAGGAGCCAGGAGCCTCTTCTAGGTCTCCCATGTGGGTGCAGGGACCCAAGCACTTGGGCCATCTTCTACTGCTTTTCCAGGCCATAAGCAGAGAGCTGGGTCAGAAGAGGGGTAGCTGGGACCGAAATTGGCACCTACATGGGAAGTCGGCACCACAGCCCCTAGCCGAAGATTTTTAAAGCAGCTACTTTAAATATATTGAAAGCTAAAAGAAACAATAGCTAAAGACCTAAAGATGAGAATAATGTCTCATGAAACAGAGAATATCAATAAAGAGGCATAAATTATTCTTAAAGGGCTAAATGAAAATTCTGGAGCTGAAAGTTGTAATAGCTGAAGTGCAGAATCCATTAGGAGGGCTCAATAGATCTGAGAAGGCAAAAAGAATCAGGGAACTGGAAGACAGGTCAATCGGGATTAGCCATTCTAAGGAACAGATGGAGGAAACATGAGCAGAGCCTCAGAGACTTATGGGACACCATCAAGGTACAATAACATTTTTCACCCACTTTGTACACCAATCTACGTACAATAGGAGTTCCAGAAGAACAGGGTGGTGGAGAGGGGGAGGGAGAGGGAGAGAGAAAGGGAGAGGAAGAGGAAGAGGGTGAAGGAGAGGGGGGAGAGGGGGAGAAAGGGAGAGAGGGAGAGGAAGAGGAGGAAAGAGAGGGAGACAGAGACGGAGAGGGAGATGGAGAGATATTACATGAAAATTAATGACCCAAAATTCCCCAAAGTGGGTGAAAAATGCTAATGTACAAATGCATGAAGCTCAGTGCACTCCAAATAGGATAAACTTGAAGATCTCAACACCTAGACACAGAATAAACTTTGAAAGATAAAGAATCGTGAAAACAGAAAGGAACAAATAACCACGTAACAGGGACGCGCGATAAGATAAACAGCTGATTTCCCCCGGAGGCCATGGAGACCAGAAGGCAGTGGGTGTCTGCTTCCTTCCCAACAGAACTTTCGTGGGACCACTGCTCTCTGGAGCGAATTCATAAGTCTCTCATCTATTTCTTATTCACAGCAGCAACAACAATAAAGGCATGCAAATGTAGTGTCATGTGCAAACACTGCTGTGAGTTACCTACATTCACAATCACGTGTGGTTTAACAGGAGTATGTGATGATGGTCCCATCAGTTTATATCACCTAGTAACATCACGGCCAGCTTAGTTCATCTAAGTAAACTCTACCATGCCTGAACAATGACAAAAGCACCTGTCAACACATTTCTTAGAATGTGTCCCTGTTGTTAATGATACACAACTGTGGTGCCTGATAGAATCCTCACTAAAACCTCCACGAGTTCCAGGCTATCATCATCACCCCATCTCACAGATGAAGGAAGTGAGGCATGGAGAGGTTGGGTAACTCGAGCAAGGTCACGTGGTTAATGAGCAGAGCAGCCAGAATCCATACTTGGGGCATCGGTCCCTGGCATTCACCTTCTCAGTCAATACCTTGCAGTGCCGTACAAGGTTCTCACTCCACAGGCAGGAACGGTGAGGCTGAGCATGGTCTCCCCTGGGAAAAGCTTCAGTACCCAAGCCCTGAACCCAGAGCCCCCTTCTATCCAGGCTCCTCCTGTGCCCTCCTCCGTACCTAGAGACAGCTTCCAGAAGCTGCCGACCCATGCTTTGGGAACGGCGTGGTTTGGGGGCAGCTGGACCAGGAGCTGGTCTTACGGAGGAGACTCCCTAAGGCTCCACTGAACCATGGCAGGCTGGAGGGTGTGAGGATAGGAGCTGGGTGGAATCCCACTTCTCCACTGCCCTCCAGAGAGCTGGGGAAGGGCTTCCACACAAGGGGAAATCCGAGGTCCGCTCCAGGGCCTCCGTGAGGAGCAGTCAGTGGTCAGGAGAGACTGTGTCTGAAAGCCCAAGTGAGCCTGTGAGAGGCCATCCCCCGCGCAGGGGCCAGGTATGGGGCTGCTTTCTTCACCTGCCCCAGGGCCTCATCTCCCTCTTGGTCCACCTTCCCTTCCAGGCTGGGGGCAGGGGCTGGGGCACGAGGCTACTGAGCCCGTTTCGGGAGTTGCTGTGAGCCCACGCTGCTGGCCTGCCCACAGCTAGAATCCGCCCTGTAGAAGAGCAAGGCTCTCTAGTTCCAGGACTGGGTCTCAGAGGTTTCTCCAGCCCACTTCAATTGGAGGCATGGCAGAGGCGTGACACGTAGACTCCACTACTGGGAGCCGATAGCACGGCTTTTACAGGAAAAGCTGAAGCTAATACCGGCATCAGTGCAAGTAAGAAGTCTCTTCCCGTGCCTAAAGCTCGAGTCCCCTAGAGTTTTGCAAGAATCAACAAATTACTTTTGATATATTCAAGCCTCCATCAGCCAGCCACTTGGAATGCGGATAGTCTCAGCCTCCCATCATCCTGCGAGCGGCTCCAACTCCCACGGGAGGATCCCTGTTAACTCACGTTCAGCTTGGAGCTATGCGTGCCTTCTGCCCTACTCCTGGTTCTTTGAAATTGGATTTATGTTTGATGCTGCATTAGCTAACAACGCCTTCATCCAGACCACTTCATCCTCCTGTCAAGTCTGGCTGAGGCCGTAGTTTTTGAAGAGTAACCCACCCCGCAGTTTTTTAGACCCTTGAATAAGAAAGGCCCCACCCCCAACACTTCACCACAGGCCACCCGCAGAGACAGAAGAGACCGGAGTAGACACACGGTTCCTGTCACCCTGGCACTGGGGCCTGTGGGACTCGGCCCAAGCCCTGTCCCCTCTCCCCCAAACCCTACCTGTGACCAAGTGGCATACACAGTGCCCATCCGAGATGTCCTTGCTTTACAAGTGGCCCTTGGCGCTCAGTGTCCTAGATACCACTCACCTAGGAGGGGCGGGGGCAGGAAGGCAGGCTCCCAGTAGGGTCTGCCCAGGGCCTGGCCTGGTTTGTCCTGGCTAAGGCCTGGGTCTGGTATTCCCCCTCTCCCCTGCGAGAGCCATCAGGGACCGCGGAGCGGGTGTGGCCCTTAGCAGATGCTTCTCTGGGCAGACGTGTGTGTGAGATGGTGCAGGTCCCGAGACACGGGGTCACTCATCTGTCCTTGGGCCACGTTAGAGAGTAGCTGCGGCTCCCAGAGGCCTGGAAAAGGAATTCTACTCCCTGGCCCCCCTGGTTTGAGGGCATTTAATAGAAGAGGGAGGGGGAACATTGCACCTGGATCCCCAAAGGAGAAACCCCTCCCAAAGGCCCCCAGTGCGGGAGCCGCTGAGTTGATTCCTGCCTGAGCACCCGGCAGGAGGCTGACACCCAAAGCTCCCCGTGCAAAAGTCACAGGTGCAAGGCACAAGGGCCCAACACCCGTGCCCCGGGGCCAGGTTCTCCCCACACGCCTCCACTCGGAAGGCTGACGTGCAGTCAGGGAGGCAGCCGCCCGCAAAACACACTGGAGTCAGTCAATTCTTCACAGCGGGTTTTCAACGACAACTGCAACTGGCCCTTGGAGAATGAAACAGAAATGTTCCTTTGTCCAGAGGGAGACCCGCGGGGACGCGGGCTGCGGCACGAGCCGCTGTGAGGCAGTGACTCCAGAATCCGCAGCTAATCATCTCACACACACGAGAGGTCTGCGTTACACTTTAAAATAGCAGCAGGTGCCCGCGTGAGAACAGAGCCGCAGCGAGTCTGACGTCACCACTGGCATCAGACACCCCAGGTAACTCGGTGCCAAAGCAGAGCGATTAAATATAGAAGCCGCTAGCCACCGGCGGGGCGCCCCGCGGCTGGAGCAGACCCCTCCTCCAACCTCGGGGTCCTGGGGAGCGGGCGGGGGCGGGGCAGGAGGAAGCCTTCCTCCCAGCTCAGGCCGCGCCTCTGGTGGGACCTGGGGAGAGCCCAGGCACCCACCCACTCATCCTCGTCCTCCCGGGCCCGGCAGTGAAACAGCAGTTCACAAAGTGGGCGCTGCTGAAGCTAGATGCGTGTTACTGAGGGTCCCAGACCCACAGGAAAGGAAAAAGCTTTTCTTAAAAAATCATACCCCCCACCATGCCTCTCCTTCCGACGTGGGGGGTAAAGAACAGAGCGCGCTCGCGGGCCAGCAGGCTGCGTTGTGAGTTTATGGTATGCCTGCCTGGCTGCGGGCGAGCTCCAAGGGGCAAACGTGATGTCGCCTTTCCAACCAGCACGGGTCTGCGCCCAGCCTCTCTGCTCCCCCTCAGCCCGGGTTTGGGCCCCGCCGCCCACCTGCTTTCCAGGGCGTCGCTGGCAGTGGTCAGGCGGCTGAGCAGCCTGTGGGGGAGGCGAGGCGGGGTCTGCAGAGAGGAGGGGGCGGCCACCTTCCGCTAGCCCACGTGCGCCTGGCATCAGGAACACAGCCCCAGACTTGGGGTTCGCCCAGGGCTTCTCCGCCTCGTGACGCCGAGTGCCTGGCCGCCCGCACCCCACTCACCATCAGAGGTCCCCAGAACCGCTGTGGGCGCCACACCCCGACAGGCGCCCCGAGCCCGGGCTCCGGTGACCTCGGCCGCCTGATGGGGCTCACCTTAGCTCCCCAAAGATCTCCCAGCTTCGCGGGAACCCCAGGGTCAGACGGCCATCCCAGGGAGGCGAGGGGGAGCCGGAAGTGCCCACGGCGCCAGGCGGGTTTGGGGCAGCGCTCCTTCTGCTCAGCGCACCCCCTTTCTCTCCCTCTGCAGAGAAGAACTGCTCCTACTTCCGGCATTTTAACCCAGGCGAGAGCTCGGAGATCTTCGAATTCACCACGCAGAAGGGTGAGCCCGCGTGGGAAGGGGGCGGGCGGTGAGAAACGACCCAGCCAGGGGCACCTGGCAGACGGGCACGACCCCTGCTCGGGTTCCCTCCTGACTCCCCTCCTCCGGGCCAGGAGACATTGCCTGAAGGCCTCCCACATTGTGGCAGGAACAGGGGACAAGGCCTGCAGGAGCTCACCACCTCCCAGCCCCTTCCGTCCTGCTTGCCTCCTCCTTCCAAGCCCCTCCCCCCCCCAGCACCAGCTGGTGCACCCTGCCCGGGCGTGGGGGCTGCAGCGAGCGAGTCTCCTCTCGGGGCAGCCCCGGGGCCTGCGGCCAGTGCTGAGCTGCCCCGGTGCTCGCCCCGCAGAGTACAGCATCTCGGCGGCCGCCATCAGCGTCTTCAGCCTGGGCTTCCTCATCATGGGCACCATCTGCGCGCTCATGGCCTTCAGGAAGAAGCGGGATTACCTGCTGCGGCCGGCGTCCATGTTCTACGTCTTTGCAGGTAAGAGCGCGGCTCCCCCGCGGGCCCCACCCCCAGCCCCCTTGTCGCACCTGCCAGGAGCAGACCGTGAGGGGAGGGGCACCTCAGTAACCCCCGGGGGCATGGGAGGCGTTCCCTGCAGTTTGTCCATGTCCCACAAGGACTTAACCTCAAAGCACTCCCCAGTGTGCAAGAAACCAAAGGCGGAGACCAGGTGCCCTTGAGGGAGGTGGTAATGCCTGGGGACGGGCAGGGGCATCCCTGGTGTAGCTAGAACCACCCCCATTTGTCACCCCCTTCTCCATGGGACGGATGCAGGCCCCTCAGAGATGCAAGCCTGGGGGCAGCAGCAGGGGCTCCCGGACCCTGACCACTCCAGCTCTGTCCCCAGGCCTCTGCCTCTTCGTGTCACTGGAGGTAATGCGGCAGTCGGTGAAACGCATGATCGACAGCGAGGACACCGTCTGGATCGAGTACTATTACTCCTGGTCCTTTGCCTGCGCCTGCGCCGCCTTCGTCCTCCTCTTCCTCGGGGGTATCTCCCTGCTGCTCTTCTCCCTGCCTCGAATGCCCCAGAACCCCTGGGAGTCCTGCATGGACGCCGAACCCGAGCATTAGCCCTCCTGGGGCGCCCAGGGAGCCTCGGCCCAGAACCTTCCAGAAGGGAGGCAGGAATTGCAAACCTGCCCTGTTCCCATCTGCCTCACCCCGCGACTGCTTCCCTTCCGTGGCTCTGACGGAGCTCCTCTGCTCACAGGGCAAATGGACGCGAGCCCAGCCCTGTCCTGGTTGGACGAGGTGGGCAGGTGGTTGGAGGGGCCCGGCCTTCCACTGAGGCTCAAAGCCGTCCCTGCTGTGCCGGTTCTCCTTGGGAAGCTGGGCCCTGGTAAACCTGGTAAACCTCCCAGGAGCACCCCGTGCGCGCATGCCGGTGCTGGGTGCCCCCTGTGTGAAAAGCCGGCCCCTCTGTCTTCCCAGCCACCAGAACCTTCGTTGCCTCCCGGAGCTCTGGGAATCAGCATTTTCCACCAGGGAGTATCTGACTGTGGTTTGAAATAAAAGCGCTCAGAACACTCGCTCGTTCCCCACGCCTTACGTTGGAGTGCCTGTATTCCCGGGGGGCCCGCCCTGAAGGAGGGAAGCTGGCCTAGTCCTGGGGGGTGCCGAGGGCTTGTGGGAGGAGGTGTGGGCACGAGGTGGGGGCAGCGACCCATGGGGCCCAGAGGCTCTGCATTCCAGCTTGGCGCTCTGGGATTATTTGGGGAGAAACTGGAAACCCTCTGATTAGACCAGGGGTGTTAAAAATAGGAGGGGCTATTTCTAGAGGCCTGAGGGTGGGGCACCCAGGGCCAGCAGCTGGATAGCAGTGCGGCCGCTGGTGTCGGATTTCGGATGCTGGATTTCGGTTGCAAAGAACCTCAGGAAGCAGGGCTTAGCAGTTAGATGCCCAGGGCGAGGGCCACGCAGGCCACGCAGGGCACACAGGGCGCCGTCCTTTGCACTCCAGGGAACTCACGCAGCCCCCAGCGAGGGGGCTCAGAGAGGCCCCTTGCGCACCTGGCCTTGAGCCCTGAGAGCTCCTTCGTCCAGGCGAGGCTTGGCCCCGCTCAGACTGTGCGGCAGACCTGGCCCACTGCCTCTTGTCTTGGGGCCGGCAGTTTTCAATGAAGATCAGAAGCAGGGTGGGCATTTAGCCCAGCAGTCCCGTATCAGAGTACCTGGCTTTCGTACCTGGCGCCTGACTCCAGCTTCCTGCTCACGCAGGCCCTGGGAGGCGTCAGATGCCACAAGTCACTGGCTTCCTGCCCTTCTGCACAGCCTGTGGTTAGCCTGGGGAATCTATGGCTTAGATTCCTTGCTCGGGGGTACGCGAATTTAACATGCACCAAACCCTGCATCGTGGTCACTTCCGTCTGCGTCTTCCCTCTAGCATCTCAGATCATCAAGGCCAATGATACTGAAGTCTGACTTTTTTCTTCAACGATTTTAGTTTTTAAATTTTTATTTATTTTATTTAAAAGGCAGAGAGAGAAATCGCCCATCCATTGCTACACTCCCCCAAAGGTCCACAACACCAAGGCTGGGCCAGAAGGAAGCCAGGAGCCAGGAGCTCCATCCAGGTCTCCCACGTGGATGGCAGGGACCCAAGGACTTGAGCTGTCACTGCTGCCTTCCAGGGTGTGCCTCAGCAGGAAGCTGGAATCGGTAGCGGCGCTGGGGCTCAAAGCCAGGCCCCGGATACGAGGTGCAGCAGCCCAAACAGCAGCTCCAGTCGCTGCACCAAATGCCTGCCCCATGTAGTGTGATTTCTAAAACGCGTGGTAAAAATACACGTCACAAGAAATTGCCATCTTTATCCTGTTCTAGTGACGCAGTCGTGTCGAGCGTGCTCACGCTGGTGTGACCGTCCCCACTGTCCACCTTAGAGCACTTCACCTTCCCCAAGGGAAACTCTGGGCCTACAGCACACGGACTGCCATTCTCACCCGCCCGGCGCTGGCCGCACGTCCTGCCCGGCCACTCGCACTGCCTCGTGGGGTGGAGCGACACGGCAGCTGGCCTTTTGAGTCTCCCTGTTTCCTTTAGCATGATGTCCCCAAGGCTGGTCCGTGACGCAGTCTGTGGATACACCGTGTCCCCTGGGCCCGTGTGCCCCATGCTGGGTGTGCATCCTTCCGCTGATGGACACTGGGCTGGTTCCCAACTCCTGCCCATCGTACGATGCTCGCGAGAACACGGGGGTGCAAATGTCTGAGACCCTGTTTTCTTTTTTTTTTAGATTTATTTTATTATTTATTTGAAAGTCAGAGTTACACAGTGAGAGGAGAGGCAGAGAGAGAGAGACAGAGAGGTCTTCCATCTGATGGTTCACTCCCCAATTCACCGCAATGGCCGGAGCTGCGCCGATCTGAAGCCAGGAGCCAGGAGCTTCCTCCAGGTCTCCCACATGGGTGCAGGAGCCCAAGCACTTGGGCCATCTTCTACTGCTTTCCCAGGTCACAGCAGAGAGCTGGATCAGAAGTGGAGCAGCCAGGACTAGAACAGGCGCCCATATGGGATGCTGGCACTTCAGGCCAGGCAGGGCATTAACCTGCTGCGCCACAGCGCCGGCCCCTGTGTGATACGTTTTCAATCAAAACTAATTCAGAATAATCCACAATGAGTGCAGTGGAGAGATTTTAAACAGAGATGGGCTCCACACTCCTGATGCTTCCTTTGTGTCGGGCTCCTGTGGTTCAGCCTGGCGCTGCACAGCAGCCGAATTATCCCATTGTACACGAGGAAAGCCGGCGAGGTCTGCAGAAGGGCTTGCTGGCTGGGACGAGGTTAACAGGCCCCGGAGCAAGAATTGGCAGGAAGGCAGCCGGTTCCCCACCTGGCTGAGCAGCGCCCCTTCCAGTGGTCCCTTGTCCCTCTGCCAGGGGTCCTGGGATTCTGAGAGGCATCTCATTGTCTCTGGCTAACACACAGTCGGGCTGCCCCTCCTGGAAACAGAATTTCAAGGACCTCTGTGTCCTTCTACCTTTTCCTGTGTGCCCTTCAGAAATGGTGGGGAATTTTATTTATTTTTACAGATGTATTTATTTATTTGAAAGGCAGAGTTACAGACAGACAGACCTTTCATCCGCTAGTTCCCTCCCCAAATGGCCGCAACAGTCAGGGCTGAGCCAGGCCAAAGCCAGGAGCCAGGCGCTTCTTCCTGGTCTCCCACATGGGCACAGGGGCCCAAGGACTTGGGCCACCTCCTGCTGCTTTCCCAGGTGCATTAGCAGGGAGCTGGATCAGAAGAGGAGCAGCCGGGACTCGAACCAGAAAGGCGGGGAACTTTAATCACATCCATTGCAGTGTTTCCTCTGCCCCAGTGACCTGTCCCACTTGGACCAGTAAATTATTTACAAATTCATTTCTAATTTATCCCCTGCCCTCTTTGAGAGAAGAGGAGACGGGGAGACAAGGTATCTATAAATCCCGTGATGCACCTGTGCTGTGGAACGCACCTGTGGGAGCGGAGACTGGGACACAGGATGGATGCCACTGGCGGTCAGTCTCACTCTACATGGCCACAGAGACCAGCAGTTAACCTGCACGCCAGGCATCGATCCTGCACAGGGAAGACGCTAATTAAGGTCACTGCTGTCCCGGGAGCAACACTTCCTGTTCCTTTGACTTCGCTCCCCGACAAGAATGTTCGCTTGCATGTGAAAAACCTGGCTTCTCCGCACTCTTCCTCATGGAGGGGGGGGGGTATGGGGGGGTGGGGGTGGGGGTCGAGATTTGCTTCTCTGGGCTCGAGGCACAGTCCCGGTGACCGCACAGAGAAACAGACGAGGGAGAGCATGTCTGTGAAAGCACAGCTGAGAGTGCCTCTGTGGCTCACGGGGCACTCCCGCCTCGGGCAGGTGCTGGGCCCGGCAGCCGAGCCGCACGTGGGACGCCTGCATCCCACATCATGAGGCCTGGGTTCAGGTCCAGCTCCGGCTCCTGCCTCCAGCTTCCTGCTGTTGCAGACCCTGGGAGACAGCAGAGATGGCTCAAGGACTTGGGTCTCTGCCACTCACGTGGAGGACCCAGGTTTCCATCACGGCGCTGATCCGAAGGCAGGAGCCAGGTGCTTTTCCTGGTGTCCCATGGGGTGCAGGGCCCAAGCACTTGGTCCATCCTCCACTGCACTCCCGGGCCACAGCAGAGAGCTGGCCTAGAAGAGGGGCAACCGGGACAGAATCCGGCGCCCCGACCGGGACTAGAACCCGGTGTGCCAGCGCCGCAAGGCGGAGGATTAGCCTAGTGAGCCGCGGCACCAGCTAAAAAGCGTGTTTTTAAAAAGCTCTATGTCCGATGGGGGCATTGAGCCACGGCTTGCAGTGCCACACTCTCGCTCTTAACTGCCCCCAGCTCAGAGGCCCGCCCAGGTGCAGGGAAAGAACTCCAGCCAGGTGCGATGGTGGAATGTCCCCAGGCCTCGGTTTCCCTCCCTGGGAGTGTCCCACCAGCTCACGTTAGTCCAGGGCCCATCACTGGAGTTCCTCCACTGGGATCTCCTATACATGGAGACGCAAACTAGGGTCCTCGGGTTGCCCACTTGAAAAGTCCCCATGGGGTGGGCAACTGGCCAGGCGGTTAAGATGCTGGTTAGGGTGCTCAAGTGCCAGCTCAGAGTCCCTGGGTCCACGTCCTGTCCCTGGGTCCACATCCTGTCCCGGGTCCACGTCCTGTCCCTGGGTCCACGTCCTGTCCCGGGTCCACGTCCTGTCCCTGGGTCCACGTCATGTCCCTGGGTCCACGTCCTGTCCCTGGGGTCCACGTCCTGTCCCTGGGGTCCATGTCCTGTCCCTGGGTCCACGTCCTGTCCCTGGGTCCACGTCCTGTCCCTGGGGTCCATGTCCTGTCCCTGGGGTCCATGTCCTGTCCCTGGGGTCCATGTCCTGTCCCTGGGTCCACGTCCTGTCCCTGGGTCCACGTCCTGTCCCTGGGGTCCATGTCCTGTCCCTGGGGTCCATGTCCTGTCCCTGGGTCCACGTCCTGTCCCTGGGTCCACGTCCTGTCCCTGGGTCCACGTCCTGTCCCGGCTCCTCACTCCAGCTTCTTGCGCACACGCATCCTGGGAGGCAGCAGGCGATGGCTCAGGTACTTGGGTCCCTGCCACCCGAGTCGGGGAACTGAACGGAGTTCCCAGATCCCGACTTCACACCAGCTCTGGCCCAGCCATCGTGGGCATCTGGGGAGTGAACCAGCAGGTGGAAGCTCTCTCTGCCTCTCAAGTAGACAAATTTTTAAAAAACTAGTTTTATGTCCCCATAAAACACACACGCCATAGCGATATGACGTCACTGAACCAGGGCAGGGGGCTGGACTCAGCGCCTGATGTCTGGCTCCTCTCTTACGCCTTGTGACGACCCTGCCCGTTTGCTTCTCTTACTGCACAGATAAAGAAAGAGGCTCAAAGAGTTTGCTTATCTAGCCCAGGGTCACACAAAGAATCAGAACCATGTTCTTTCTGCTTCCGGAAGCCGAGCTGCGAGCCCCTTTGCTGCAGAACGTGAGCTCTGTGTTGCTGGGAGAGACCAAAGGTTCCCGC